TTTCTTTGCTCACCTCAGTTTCATACACTAAAAGCAATAATCTCTAGCAGTACTTCATCACACTTTGAGACCAACTAAGTGTCAGGCTGGAGACTTTCTTCCCTGTTCCTCAATCTCTAGGGACAAGCTAGGATCAAGCTACATGTCATCAACTTCCAGCAAGCCTGCCTGCTGAGTTCTCGCCCCCTGCATCGCTAACGCTGTTCCCCCCTTGCTCTCTGGAACCTAAGTGTTCTCTGAGCAACAACTGACTCTTGAATTACCTACTTACTGCCCAATGGGTTTGTAAGGAGACTCCCCATATTCTGGGTTTTCGGATAAAACAGCTCTCCTACAGCTGGAAGTAGCGAGGGATTTCAGAAACACATCAACATCTCAGAGTCCTTCGGACTTCTCACAGATGCAACTTCAAGCTACTGCCACTAGCCCAGACAACTTTCAGCTGACATGCTAGAGAAGAAAGTTGATTTCTAGAGGCTCTGGAGAAAAAAAGATACCAACAGATCTTAAGATAAAAATCCATATAATCACTGTTAATAACTAACAACCACAATCAGAATAACAACTTGCTCTTCAGATAAAATTGGCAAGCGTCATTTTGTTTACCCTTAAAACAAACTTTGTGGCTTATCACATCCCCCCGTTCTTTCTTTCCTTCTCTTGTTTTTCTTTTTAGATCTGCAACAGGCTTATATTAAAAATCCACATACTGACAACTTTTCAGTATTAACAAGCAAACAGTATTCTTGAGGCCAACGGTTTTTTCCAACAGCGCTGACTGAAACAATTACATATAAATATAAAGCGTGCTTAGCCCAGTGAAGCAGAGCAACAGTAAATAAAGACCGTGGTTTATTCATTTGGTTCAAACCTAGAGCGACAGTACTCTGCAAAGCTAGTAAGCCTGAACTCTTGTTTGCATTTCAGAACAAGGGCTGTGGAATTGCACTGTGGATAAGGGAAAAGTGAGGCTTGGAAACCCAGCGTACACATAAGTCTCAACTTTACGGGTAAAAAAAGAAAAATCCACCAACCAACATTAAGAGTGTAAGCACTAAAAATTTGTGACAGCTTAAGACAACAGAATGTCTGCAATTGCATCATTTGCAGTATACAGGAGGTAAAACATCAAGAGCTTTAAGGTAAATTCTCACTCAATGGGGATGATATCACAAGACATGTCAGCTGCTTCTAATAGTGCAAGAGCTGAGCAATCTTTCAACTGGGGAATGTCCTCTCTGCCCCAGAAGCAAAGCACCCTTTCCTGGAACTTAAAAAAAAGCTACGTGAGGGAGAACAAGTACCAAAATTTGCTGTGTTCCTTTCCAGCACAAGATGAATTTTTAGATTGCCTACTTTTAGATTAGTATGAAATATGTATTCCCTGCTAAGTAGCAAAAAAAAATACATTTAGCTGTATATACCTTTCAGCATTCAGAAAGTTGACAGCTGTGCAGTATCTACAGCAACAGAGCTTCAAAGTTTGAGTAGACAGTAAAGCAAGTGAAAGTGCAGCTACTGGCAAAAAAAAGTGCATCTACACCTCCGTAAACCGTCACACACTACCAGCAATTCAGTTCCCAAGATGGAGACTTTTTACTTATGCCATCTACTGAGAAGGACTAAATATTTTATTCAGAAATGCAACAAATCACATTATTTTAACAACTGAAAGGAGTAACTGCGTAAGCAAAAGTAGGAATTGTTGTTTTCCTCAATCCATTCCTGACTGTAACTGCCAAGTCAGTGCGTATGTCAGCATCTCATTACTATGACCCAGCCGCTTGTAAGTCTACTCAGGGGGTAGCTGAGAAGTTGGCATTTTCTTCTGTCTTTGACATACCTCCTCTTTTGAAATCCAGCCTTCATGAGCATTTGTTAGATTACCACCTAAAGTGATTTTTTAAGAGGAACATCTACCACCAAGGGCTCCTCATAACACGACAAATTTTCCTGGACTGCCTTGCTAACCAGATTGTAATTGAAAATTGTACTACGAAGGGCAGGTATATAAAAGCCAACGCATTTTGTTCACAACATCCAAGCACATGGTTATTTTGGAGCCTTAAACACTTCTGGGCTTGATTCATTGGTGCTGTGCCCTGTGTGCGGCTGCAATTTAGCAACTGAGAATTTGGTATGAAGGCCAACAGTACCAAATCAGAACAGTAGAGATTTTGTACTTGCTTTGCAGTGGTTTGAAAGAACATAGGCGAACAAAAAAAAAAAAAAAAACAGACAGACAGACTTTTGGTTTATCCAGTCAAGTTTTACCTTGTGTAATCCCCAAAAGATATGAAAATAGTTTTATGAAATTGGATTAAAAAGAAAAAGAAAAAAGTGAGACAAATAACTTGTGTTCCCAGGAATGACTGAGCTTCCCTTACCTTGCATATGTTTTCATACTGGGATTCACAAATAATTTCAAAAAAATACAGTGTTCCCTTCTTGCTAGATATTTGTGTATTTCCTCACTACAGAAAAGCAGACAGAGTAGCAGTCGAGCTGGCTCAGAGCTTTTTGGCAACACAAGTAAAGCTCAAGTTTTCCCACTCTAAAGAGGAGAAGTTGGGACTGCGTTTCTTAGGGCTGAAAGAGCATGGATTGGGAGAGCACTCCAGGGCCCGGCTCATGCTTTAGCTGCTGTTGGGGGGCAAAATATAACTGACAGGGCACTGCTCTTCCCAACCCCCATCACTAACTGCTGCCCTGGGCACAACAATGGGAGCAGCTGCAGCTTCCAGCTTCCCACTGCTGCGGGGATGCCACCAGTGCTGGATGAAGCCAGCAGTGTGCTCAGGTGGCCAATGACATCCTGGCCTGCACCAGGAATGATGGGGCCAACTGAACTAGGGAAGGGATCGTCCACCTGTGCTGGGCAGTGGTGAGGCCGCACCTTGAATCCTGCATTCAGTTCTGGGCCCCTCACTTCAGGAAAGACACTGAGGTGCTGGAGTGTGTCCAGAGAAGGGCAACGGGGCTCGGAAGGGTCTGGAGCACAAGCCCTGTGAGGAGCAGCTGAGGGATCTGGGGGTGTTTAGCCTGGAGAAGAGGAGGCTCAGGGGAGACCTTATCGCCCTCTACAGCTACCTGAAAGGAGGTTGCAGAG